CTCCTCCTCGCTGCTCCTCCCTGCTCCTCCCTCCTCCTCTCCTCTTCCTCCTCCTCCTCCTCCTCCTCCTCCTCCTCCTCCTCCCTTTCCTCCTCCCCGGGAGGCCTCTCGTCGCACGGCTGGGCTTGCACCGAAGAACGCGCCACGGCGGACCCCAGGATCGGGACGATCGAAGTTCGAGTAGGGGATCGACTACTTTCATAATGGAGTTGCCCTAACTTGGACTTGTCGTGTGGATCTCAAAAAAGTAATGAGGATACGCCGTAGATCTACGGAGCACTCTGCTTAGTTGTTTGTAGAGTGGACGAGAAAATCCATTATGGGGTAGATCAACTCTGTAGTCGATCCCCTACTCGAGAAATGGGTACGCAAAGGATGGGTACAGTCGGACCGAGGTATAAGATCTAGGTAGGTTCGGGGAGGGTGCCCTCATGGTCTTCGTGGCTGTTGGACGTTATTGTGCATCCTGGGGGAGGGTATCCCGGAGTGCTTTTCACTTGGGGTGGCGGAAGGTCTCATGAGCTTGAAGGGTGTTCTTCTGGCCTAGGTCCGACTGTACCATGCCCAACCGCAGTTCCTGATGATTCTGAGCAGGGCTCGCTGCCCACGCCGCCGCGGACGTGGCTCATGGAAGGCAGAGAGCCGCCTGCCCATCGGCGGCCGCTGTCTGATGGGCCTGCTTTCCACCACCGCCACCATAAGTTGGAGGGGGTAAGGAGGAGGAGGAGGAGGAGGAGGAGGAGGAGGAGGAGGAGGAGGAGGAGGAGGAGGAGCCCCTCCCCCTCCTACTTCTGGTGGTGGTGGTGGAAAACAGGCCCAGCAATGCCGGTTTTGGACAACACTCGTGGGGGAGCATTGTACCAGTTGTTAATTATCCGCACCCATTTCGGGCGTCCAGGCAGGGGAGGGGCTGGCTCCTGGAGCCGATTTTCAGCGGAGGCGGGCCGGGCGCGAGGGCCGCCGTTTGTTCTTGCCTGGCACCCTGTGGAGGCGATGCCCGTGGACCTCCCGGCGCCCCCAATTGGGCGCCAGAGCAGGTGGGGTCGGGGGCTCACGCTGCCATCCCAGACCCCCTCGGGTGATGGGAAAATCAGGACGGGAGTTTTTGTTCGTTCATTTTCGGCCTCGGGGGGCCCTCGCCGGGCCTCGGGAGCGTACGACGCAGGACGAAAGACCGGTCGCGGGGAATGGGTCGAGACCTCCAGGGGTCGACGTAATGAACAAATCACGACGTCGGCGGTCTGGGATCGCCGATGCATCGGCGATGCGGCTCGATCTGGGGCCCGATTGGGTCCATCCCGACGTCTCCGATGCATCGTCGCCGATGTACTTTCATTTCGTGGTCACTGGAAGTCCCGACCCTTTCCCCAGGGCCGGTTTTCCGTCCCGGGCATGCTCGGGGTCATGGACCGCCGAAACAATACTTGACCTTTTTGGCGATCTCGGAGCCTGGCGAGGGCTTTGGAAGGCCGAACGCTTTTTTCTGTGAAAAATAATAACAATACTTTAAGATCCGGCCGGGGAGTCGCGATTTGTCACAACGTGCGTTGCCAAGTTTTCGGCCCCACGACCATCACAGATCGATCCGGCTGGGGGAATGCAGGAAAAAGATGTGACCCCGCGCTCCGGTCGTGATGTTTGACGATGGTGCAGTTTGCCCGCGCCGTCGGAGCTCAGTCAGGGTAGTCATGTTGGGTGTTTGGGTATCGGCGATGCGGCGCGATCCTCCGACCCCGGCTGCTGAAGCCGCATTCGGGGCGGCCGCCAGGACCGATGGGTCCTTTTTCCACCACCACTACCACATGTAGAAAAGAGAGGAGGAGGAGCAGGAGGAAGAAAGGGAGGAGAAGGAGGAGGAGGAAAGGGAGGAGGAGGAGGAGGAGGAGGAGGAGGAGGAGGAGGAGGAGGAGGAGGAGGAGACCTCCTCGTCCTCCCTCTCCCCCGTCCTGCATCTGGCAGCGGTGGTGGGGAACTCGCCCATGAAGGACCGGTACCTCAAGGCGCGGGGCGCGTGCCCGCCCCGCACGTGGGTCTCCGCGCGGGCGGACGAGCTGCGGCGGACCGGCGGCGGCGCGGCGGAGGTCGCGGAGGCGGCACGGCTGTGGCACCTCGGGGGCAACGCGGTTGGTATGTTACGGAGCGGGAAAACGACCACAGCCACTGCTTTTCTTCTGTTGCCGCCTTCCAGCCCGCAGAAACGAAGCAGTGGTTGTGGTCATTTCCGTTGAACTCGGCACCAGGGAAATGACCACAACCACTCCTTCTTTTTCGACCGGCGCAAACAAGAAGCAGCGGCTGTGGCCATTTTCCCGTCCCGCATATGTAGATGGGCAACGAGGTTGGTATGTAGATCCAGACATGACCGCGTTGTTTATTTTGCTTTTCTTCTGTTGCCGCCTTCCAGCCCGCAGAAACGAAGCAGTGGTTGTGGTCATTTCCGTTGAACTCGGCACCAGGGAAATGACCACAACCACTCCTTCTTTTTCGACCGGCGCAAACAAGAAGCAGCGGCTGTGGCCATTTTCCCGTCCCGCATATGTAGATGGGCAACGAGGTTGGTATGTAGATCCAGACATGACCGCGTTGTTTATTTTTCAAAAAAAAAAAAAATCAGGGCGGGAGGCTTTTGGCCAGTTTCGGCCTCTGGGGGCCTTCGCAGGGCTTCGGGACCGTCAAAACACGACTCAGGATGCAAAACCGGTCCCGGGGAAAGGGTCGGGACTTCCAGGGACCCCGCGTTGAAAAAAATCTGGGCGTCGCACGTCTGGGGGCCAGGAGAGGAAAACACACAC